TATACCGGTTGTAATATTTTGGTTCGTAACAAAATTATAGTTTTTTTTTATAAAGTTTTCTTATTAATAAATATTATATTTTTTTGTTTATAATTATAAATGAATATTAATTTGAGATAATTAATTAAAAAATATATAATTTTGAAATTTAGATTTTTTTTTACTAATAAGAACTAAATTTTCGAATGTTGTGGAGTAAAATGTTAAATTTTTTCCAAAAGAATAATTTTCAAAATAATTTTTGTTTTTATTAGGAACAAATGAATAGTATTACTACTTGATTATACAGGGTGTAACTAAAATATTTACAGTAAATTTAACCACAGTTTGTACGGTCGAAAATAAGTTTAAGCTAACATGCTTTTTAAATCTGTAGGCTGGCTCACGAGCTAGGAGGTGCCTATCATCTTAGGAGGATGCACAATGGGCCTAATGAGGCCTAAGTGCCGTGGGGGGTAACCCACCCTCCACAAGTTACAGATACAGATGCTTTTATAAAAAATGGATAGTAAAAAGGTTACAGGGCGTTAAAGTAGAAATTTCACAAGTGATTTTCTGCTTGTACTCTAAAACGGCTTAATATATTTTTATGAAAATGTAAATATGTGATGTTAGTAGCTAGAATTTTACCAGTTATTTCTGGTAGAATTAAACAATTTATCTCTGCATTGTATTCATAATAAATTGAATTTATAACAACACTCACATGATCATTAGTGACTTTTTGTAACACCACTTGTTATGAAATCTTTCTTTTTTGGCTAAATATTTGGTTTGTTTACTATTCCTTTATATATATAAAATATCTTTGTGCATTATTATCCAAAAGAGCGCGACAATTAACAAATTCTACACTGTAATATTTGACAATATTATTGGAAAATATGAAGAATTTACTAAAAATTCTAAAACAAAGTATTTCTATTTAATGACTTATATTGAACTATAGAACGTTGTCATTTTTAAAAGCTAAACTCTCACGTAAATGTTGAGTTTATATAGAGAGACTAGACAGAAAGAAAAGACTAGAGTGAGGATTAAGGTCCAGAACTTTCGCCAAAGGCGAGAGCTCTCGTTTTTTGGGACCAGAAGTCCCGAAACACCCTAATGTGTACAGTAAAGTTTTATAAAGCGATTGTATAATATGGATAAATATCTTAAACTTATTTTTAAAGTGTTTTGTTTAATAATAATTAATTGATTTACATATAAATGCCAATTTTACATTTTTCGTCCCGAGTATTATATTTATCTTATATATATATATATATATATATATATTTTATATTATTATGTGGTTTAAGTTTTCCAGTGGTATTTTTAATTGTTAATAAGTCTAAACTGTATAGTTCAATTAAAGCCTCGGCGTTTCTACTCCCTTAGGACTAAAAGAGTCTAACACTAGTCGCCAAAAAACGTTCGAATGTGCTATTAAGGGATAATTTATGTTCTTTTAATTTATTTTTTTTTATTTTTTTTTGCTACTGGTGAATGGATGCTCCTTCTGGAATCCAGGACTCTTTGGATTGTGACAGTGCTGCCTTAATCCCTTAATAGTATACTAACAACAGTAGCTAAAGACCTATCAGTAGTAACAAATGGTCTTTAGGCTAGTTGGTTGTTACAATACCATTTTTTATTCGAATTATTGCAGTTGATAGCAAAATCTTGGATTATGCACAAAACATTATTTTAGTGGTCTTAAGTTGTTTAATTTTTGTAACTGCCGCTGTTGCCAGCTTAGCTCCAAAAAATTCTTGCTGATTTCAATTTTGGTTGCGAAGAAAGGTTTCCGGTGATCATGCTGTCGTAAACATTCACATTTTTTGTATTTATTTTTCCAATATGCAATAGCGAATTGTGTGCTTTATGACATTTAATACATTTTCTTGATTTGCATCTCAGAAACATTAAGCTGTAGGGATTTTTCACAATTATAAATATAATGGTTTTCACTGCAAAATACGATCTTTATTTCCATTAGAAATGCAGAAGTTTGTTTTCGTGTACTTCGTTTAGTATTTATTTATTCAGTTGACAGTTTTTCTAACGTCTCGCATTTAACTTTTATAAATTCTTCTATATCATTAAGTAAAGGTTTTTTATCTCTATATTTAAATGATTCCCATTCTCGTTTGGTCAATGTATAAAATGTAGAGACATATACAGGGTGTTTATTAAGTACTTGTACAAACTTTATATAGTGAATCTTTGACTAATTTTAAGGCAAAAAGTTCATATGAACACGTGTCCTAAACCTCTAAACTTTTGTGCTACAGGGTGGTAAAGTTTTCAGAAAAAAATCAATTTTTTCCAATAACTGTGAGACTATTGTAGATATCTTTACAAAATTTGGTACACGTATACTATGCATTAAGATGCATTTTATCTACAGGGTTTGTTAAGCCGTTTTAGAGTAAATTTTTTACTTTTACACCCTGTAACTTTTTTATTAACCATTTTTTTATATAAACAAGTTAGAGTGAATCGACATATTTTCTACCCCAGAAAATTTGATTGAATTTATTCTACATCTTTCTGTTACATCCTGTATTATAAATAGCCAAGACATAATTCGAATTTGGGATATTTTTTGCATTTTTTTTTAAATTTGTACGTTTTTTTCAAAAAGTTTTTTTTAAATTATAGTAAAAATTGGAAATGACGAAGGAAAATATATAAAATTTGGGAAAATAAAATTTATTTTGTGTATATTCCTAACGTAATAATTAATGTACGGTACAAATTTTAAAATTATTTTTAAAATGATTAATTCTAGAGCTACAAATCAATTTTGTACCAAATTTCGGAAGATATGGAAATTTTCATTCTCCAAGTAATACAATTTTTTAAATCTTTACTGTTAAGATTTACCGAAAGTTAGATTAAATTTAAAAACAAAAAAATGCAATAAATTACTTTTAACACGAAATTTAAAAAAATAAATTTATATTAAAATATTCTAAAAATATTCGTACTCTTTTATTTTATTTGTTTTCAAGTAAGTATAATACTAAATAACTAACGGCTTTAGCATCCATTTCATTTTCTTTACCACATAAATTTTTAACTTATAACTAACGGGTGTTGTTTTTACTAATTAATTATTATTTATTTAGATTTTTATTATAATTATAAGAAGTCTTTTTATATTATAAAAAATACGTTTGAACTTGCAACAATAACCAACCTGCCATTACATTAGTAAAAATTAATTTTAAAACAAAATTAAACTACTTGTTAAATTTATTTTAAAGAAAATATGTGCTACATTTTCTTTGTTACATGTTTTCTTTAAAAAAAGTAAAAATTATATACCGCGTGTCCCACAACTTTTTAGATAGAACATTACTCTGAAACGGCTGAAGATATTTTAATAATGTCAATTTTATCACATTGCGACCTTATGCCAGTAATATCATTAGTTAAGAAGTCGTGTGATAGCTCAAATTATTCTAAATTCAACCTTGTAGCCTTCTTAGGATCTATTCCTTAATAATTTGGCATAATTGGATATTTAATTTTGATCTGAATGTCATTTTCATCTTCAGAATAAAAACTTTTAATTATATCAAATATCACTTTAAAATTTTTGCAGTGACGTGAGGTCAAACCAACACTGATGAGGTCACTGGCACTGGCAAGCGTTGCAATATTGTAAAATGGATTCCATAGATATCTGTCTAGCAGATTTCAGTAATTTATTTTCAACCGTTTCACAGTAACGTCTGTATAAAAAAAATTGTGGTTGAACCGGTATAATAATACGAAGGAAAATTTGTGGAAAACAATATTTAAGATCAATACCAAACACGAGACAATTATAATCGCAATATTTGTTTAGTCAACACCGTAGAGACGTGAGGACGCAGTGAAGCGATAAAATAGAATTGCTTCTCGGTTTTCTTTCTTATAATTCGTCATTTTTTGATCGAAAGGTAACAATAATCTAAAATTATACAATGAACAGAGACGTGGATATCTAATTCGACTTCACCATCTCTATATTTGACTAAAAATAATAAAATAATGTAATATATTTCTGTAGTCTCATTAATAAGATCTTATTGTACCCCTGTATATGCTTTAAATCGACGCGACGGTACAAGGGTACGACAAGATCTTATTTACTTCGACAAGGCATCATATAATTCAGATCAAACTTCACTTCAGGTCATTTCTTTTGATCTTATAAATATAATAGATATTTTAAATACTGTTTTCCACAGTTTGGTTAAAATAATCTAATTATTTTTAGCAAACGATACATGGTTTCGTGTCGTAGGGAAATAATAATTCCTTTTTAAAAATTTGCTATTTAAAATAGAGATATTCGTTTGAAATATATAGAAAATATGTCAACAAAATATTCCTTAATATTCAAAACAAAATATTCCTTATTGTATTAGTATAACAAAGAAAAATTTTTCATTACAATGTGTCGCGTTGCATTTTTTGCCTGCTCCTTGTATTTGGATGTAAGGGAGGCAGACGAACAAGTTGTACTATGTCCTTGTGGTGGAAGATATCATGTAACCTGCGAAATGCAAAGTAAAGTTCCGCATCGATGGATTTTTGATCTTTTTGTCCGCAATGAAATATGCTTAAAAACATTAAAAAATGTAATAGTTGGAAATGTGAAAATATACAAGGTGTTTGAAAAAAAATGAGCCCTTTACTATAGTAGGCAGAACTCTGCAAAATAACTTGTCGTGAATTTACCTTTGTAGCATAGACCATACGACCATAGTTTAAAGGATTGAAATCGCATAAACGTGGAGTCCAATGAATCAGAGTTTCTGCAACTCTACTTCTATTAAAACGCAGGGAAACTCCATCTTGCTAGTACAACTTCAACGCCATTTTTATCGATATAAATAGTATTTAAATAAAAGCACATTCTTTCGTGAATTTAAGGGATAATTTGTTACATTTTGTTGATATTTTAAACGTAGATCAAAAACCATAAAAAAACTGATCTCATTGACCTCTAAATGCAGACCTCAAGCAGGGCACATCGGTGATGAACAACATGACGATAGCAGAGTCGACTTCGATGCGAAGAAGACTTTTTGCCGGAATGAAAAGTCTAACGGGTTTTGGTTCAAGGTCGAGGCACGGATCACCTGGTCATCGTTCCATCTCTCTGCCAGAAAGTATGCAAAAATGCCTTCTTTCTAATTTTGGACTGGTTGTCTATAAATGTGTGTGTTTGTCTGTGTTATTACCTACGTCATGCTCTCGTGTATTTCATGTGATTTTTTCTTAATTTTATAAGTACGAATTGCGTGTTATTTATTAAATTTAAATTAATTTAAATGAATTTGAATGAAATGAAATGAATTTAAAAAAATTAAATGAATTTAAATGAATTTAAATAAATTTAAATGAATTTAAATGAATTTAAATGAATTTATATGAATTTAAATGAATTTAAATGAATTTAAATGAATTTAAATGAATTTAAATGAATTTAAATTCATTTAAATGAATTTAAATGAATTTAAATGAATTTAAATGAATTTAAATGAATTTAAATGAATTTAAATGAATTTAAATGAATTTAAATGAATTTAAATGAATTTAAATAAACTTAAATGAATTTAAATGAATTTAAATGAATTTAAATGAATTTAAATGAATTTAAATGAATTTAAATGAATTTAAATGAATTTAAATGAATTTAAATGAATTTAAATGAATTTAAATGAATTTAAATGAATTTAAATGAATTTAAATGAATTTAAATGAATTTAAATGAATTTAAATAAATTTAAATAAATTTAAATAAATTTAAATGAATTTAAATGAATTTAAATGAATTTAAATGAATTTAAATGAATTTAAATGAATTTAAATGAATTTAAATGAATTTAAATGAATTTAAATGAATTTAAATGAATTTAAATGAATTTAAATGAATTTAAATGAATTTAAATGAATTTAAATGAATTTAAATGAATTTAAATGAATTTAAATGAATTTAAATGAATTTAAATGAATTTAAATGAATTTAAATGAATTTAAATGAATTTAAATGAATTTAAATGAATTTAAATGAATTTAAATGAATTTAAATGAATTTAAATGAATTTAAATGAATTTAAATGAATTTAAATGAATTTAAATGAATTTAAATGAATTTAAATGAATTTAAATAAATTTAAATAAATTTAAATGAATTTAAATAAATTTAAATGAATTTAAATAAATTTAAATGAATTATAATAATAATTTTAATATTATTTAAGGAAAATACCACATGACATAAACTTATCGGGTTCTAACAAGATAGTATGTATTCTTTTTATCAAGTTTTTGACGAAAACAGTGCAGTTAGAGTAAATATATACTAAATTGGCAATTAATAGGCTAGGTAGTTGAAGTTTTACTCAGATGCTTAGTTTTTTATGTTTGGATACAGTAATTATTATATAAATGAATTTTGAGAAAAGTAAATCCGAAAAATGTTTATGAAACGTTTATATGAATATTAATTGTTGTATTTTCAATAAAGATGAGTTTCGGCGAAATTTCTGAAATCCTATAAAATAAATTTTGGTGATTTCCGAAATTCGGATACGTTTTGACTTTAGTGGTTTACCCAAAGGATAGAGCATAGCTATTGAAAACTTCTTTACAAAGTGATTTATTTTAACGTTCTGAGCCAGTCTGAGAAAACATTTGGAATTCACTAATATATTCCTGACTGCTGAATTTTTTTAACATTTGTTCCCAAGTGTTATGAATTGATTTTTTCCAGATTAATGATTTCCTTCATCCTTAACTCAATTTCTTGCAATTTATTGATAATTTGGTAAAAAGCTTATTTGAATTTTGAAAACAAAATAATCGACTATTTTTAAGGTTATAAACTTTTTCAACACCTAGTCGAGGCATAGTTATTTGTAAAACATGCTATTACATCCAATTAGAGGCACTTAGATTACAGGCAATATTTTCAGAAACTTATTTTTCTTTTTTGTCATCTATTTTGATTTTTTCAATTCATTCATTATTATTGTTGTTGTTTATTTTATTGACATGGACATAACCGTACATAACAAAACTATTCACTGAATTCCTTCATCCAAATTGTAATTATACGGTTTTGCTAATTGAAATAAGAGTTCTTATATCATGAATCAGTTATTTTTAAATAAATGAAGATACGTTTTAAAAGTTAATTTGTAGAGGGCGTATCTGCATAGCATTAGAAATTGTTTACTTTATAAGAACGTCACTAGATGCCACGCGAGATTGCCTCAAACGATTTTTACCAGAGCGTTATCCTAATTACAAAGTGGACCATAAATGGACCATAAATGGCCGACCGAAGGGTTAAATAGTTAAAAAATTTAAATCATATACAGTAGGATAAAGTTTAGTGTTAATATATTTAACATATCTGAATATCAGTTTAATAGTATATGGGCTAGCTAATGTAAAAATTTATCAATATTAAATTTTAAATAAAATATATAAATATGTACACAAATACTAAATAGATAAAACACAACAGTACTTATTCTTAATACATAAATCCTTATTATATTTTCATTATTTTTGCAATATTCCAAATAAGACATAAGTGGTAAGTTTTTTAAGAATGGTTATACTAATTTGAACTCTAATATGAATATCCGTTTAGCAAATACTTGATGGAATTCAAATCAGGATTGCTATCCCAATCCCTACTATTGACACATTCTTACCGCTAATATCCCAAAATATATAACTATTTTATCTGTAAAACTTTAAAAACCTGGTCTATTAACATAAACTAATATAGCCAGGTATGGCTCATTTCGAATTTACCAAACATTCTCGAAATTCTAAAGTGCTGAATTCGTTGAAAAGCGTAGATATTGAGAATTCCCATGCTGGATATGAAACGAACAAACAAAACCTTTAAATTTGTGCATTCAGTAATTTTCACATTTTCCTATCACTCGATGTGCTTTTACCCTCTAGCAAAAATTCACCGTTTGTATTGTTAGTCTATGTGCCAGTATGCAAATAAAAAGATAAGGTAGTAGCTCAAAGTCCTAATAATAATATTGAATAGCTTATTTCAGAAACAACCTGTCACATTTTTGGACTTTTTGAAGTTTCGGAGTAATACTAATTACTAGTTCAACCTATAAAAAACCAAACTCCCTCCACTCCCTTAAATACCTTCATGTATGACAATTTGAAATATTTGTTTATTTCTGAAACAACCTTAGTCCTGGTCCTACTTTTTTTTACCTCTTGGAAACTCTCAAAATAGTGACTTAGGTTGTTTCTAAAATAAGTGATTCAGTTACATTTGTTTTATAGTTACTAGTTTTGTCTATGTGTCATCGTCAGGTCTAAAATGAAAGCATTGTGACGAGTGGAAACATTTTAAAAATTTACAACACATTTAAGAAAGAAAACATTAAAGTAATAAATCTTTTATTATTTACATAGGTATACTTAAAGTTATATAGAAATGATATGATACTGTTACATTATAAGTTGACATGTCTAAATAATAAAATTATATTGCACGCCTTGTTCTCAATGATCCTAGGTAGTACCCCCTCCCTTTCTTCGATCTGTGGCTACGTATTTTAAAGTCTAAATACCCTCAAAAGTATTTAGAAAGTTCCAAAATAATAACTGATCGTGTCAGTCCTTCCCACCTTTGCTCCCATTGCGTGGTACTCAGATAAATCCTTCATTATTTCTTTTCTTACACGTAAATAATTTGTTTTCATTATTAATTATTAAAAATACATAAATGGATAAATCAAAGAAGAACATTTTTGCATCGGGGCACTCTACGTCCTCGGAGAATTACAAACTTAAAAAAGAAGCTGGATGAAAAAAGGCGACACCGAATATCAAAATTGCAATTTTTTGTTTTTTTTTAGATATGAATTCATACTCCATCAATCAGCAAAAAAAAATACACAATATACACTGTGTATATATGCTAGTTACTGGTTTATAACTGAATCCTTTATATGATTTAATGCCTGGCGATCTATACAGGTTTTTCCCGTGTATATTATGCAGTATGTACTGTAAATCAGACCAGTTAATGGTTTATATATAACTGAGTCATATGTATGACAAAGCCTGTGGATTCATGCAGATTCTTTTCTGTTTATTATTCCCGACGCTGTAACACGGGTTTTTTATAGGGCCAAAGGCAAGCACAATGACTTATTATAAGATGGTACAAGGTGTCCAGCATAAAACGAATAAAATAATTCTGAAATAATCACAATGGTAAACACCTTTTATGAAATACAAATTTCCTACTGTCAACTGTTAAAATATACACAGTATGTACTGTGAAATAAGCTAGTTACTAATATATGTTTATACATATTATAACCGGCATATGCATGATTAAATACCTGGGGATCTAGGTAGGCCCTTTCTGTGTATTATTGTGGTAATAGTAATTCAGAAAGCTGTTGATGAAAGGCTTTATTATAAAAATTACAACTTGACAAATTAAAAATAGATAACGTCAGAATTAAAAATAAAATAATCTCTAAAAACAAAAACAGCTTATTTTTTAAGCTCGATCAGTGGATTATTTACTTTGAAACAGGCTAGCTACTGGTTTATGCTTTATACAGGGTGTCCTTTAAAATGTGTCCCAAAATTCTCAGGCAGATTCCTTAACCAAAAAATGGAAAAAAAGTTCCTATAGACCTATGTCCTAAAGTGCCCCCTAAGCGAGCAACAGCCTCTCGAAATAATTTTTTTTATTTTGATTTTTTGAATTTTCTTAAAAATGGAAACAAATAAAAGAACCAAATTTTGGCTGTTAAATATGATCAATAATAGTGACCTTTTGACACCTTCAAAAAGAAATTATTTCGTCAGGGGTGTACTTGGGAATTTTTTGAAAATTTTGATTATTCATAACTTTTTTGTGTTTTTGGTAATGACTTATCCATATTTTTTTTTACATTCTACATTGAAAAGTACGTCAAAAAGGAATACTTGTTTGATCTCGATTGGAGCAGCCGTTTCCGAGAAAACATCATCCAAAGATATTCGTCCACTTTAGCTTAATTTTCAATTTTCCTAAATTACCTCGGTGAATCTCGTAAATAAAAATAACTTTTTTAGCTCTCTCTAAATAATTGTAGTTCAAATGTCGTGGTGG